CCACAGCAACAGCACTGGGATCACCCCATGGCCAAGGTAAGGGACAGCAAAGACTCAGGCATTGCTTCCGCTGAGTGCTGAGCACATTTTAGATCAGTACCAAATTCACAATTCAGAGGAGAAATAAAAAGCAACTTTATAGGAATGAAAAGCGTCAGGAAAGAAAAAGTTGGATGCAACTTAGTTACATTACAAAATACAGGATGCCAGTTTTAAAAAAGACAACCACTTTTAAAAGGAGCAGAAGAAAAAGGTTAACCCCCTATGATGGACCAGAGACATACCCGAAATGCCCAGGTGGCAATCACAGCCGCTAGAAATCGCTACATCCCAGACCCACTAGCAACAAATTTCATCTGATTGACTTACCCACTTCTGTCAAGATGATTTTAGTCACTTTAAGCACTTTCATTGCTGCTCTTTCCTAACAAATCACTTTTATCAAGACAGGTTAGGGAATTACTAGACCAGCAGTCATATGTGACAGCATCTCCAAGGAAGCAAAAGGAATGRGAAGAGCAGAGCTGTGACAGCCGGAGCAGGACAGAGCAGGCAGCCACCTCGCCTGGCCCCAGACAGCACAGTGTGCCCAACCACACGTTTCCTGTTTTTATGCAACAAAAACCCACTAAGAGAAAAAAAAAACCCAAGCACAGGCAGACAGTGGAGAAAGCCAGTGAAGGTGAGGAGAATTCAAGGGCAAGGTCCTACCTAGCTGGAACAAAAACTCTCAAGAATTGGTAGAAAAACAAAAGAAACCAAGACAGCAAATATAACTGCACCCCTGCCTGAAGTTAATTCTTGAATATGAAAAACTCTCTTCAACAAGAWGAAAACACAATACTAAAATAACTATCCAGTAAAGGTTACTAGCACCTGGAATGACTGGCACATGACAAAAGTAGATGAAGAGAGATTTCTCAGTATGAAGCCACCAGCCAATCATCCACCATTTCTCAAAAAATACAGCGTCAGGCAGAATAAGGAGCAGGTTTAGGGCAAAGAACCTCACATTGAAAGGACATATTTCCTCCAACATTCTCATATATTTTAAAAAGGGACTCCCACTGTCACAAACAGTGGTGATTGGCAAAAACCACTGGGTTTTTTTGAGCCCTCTAGAGATGGACGACCGGGAACTTGAACTATCTATAAAAAAACTCTGGTGAAACCACAAACACCTCTGAGGAAGTTCATAAATTACTAACTGCCAGACTAGGAAGTTTTATTAAAAGAAGAGAAAGAAAAATAAAAATAATAAAAAATAAAACAACAACTTTCCACTAAAAACCTGCKTTCCATATGCTTTTCCTTCCTACCTGTCCTGTCCCACAGCCAGGACTCTCAGCACAGCAGCTCTTACATTCTTGGGGGGGGAAAAAAAAAAAAACAAAAACCAAAACAAGCAGGAGTTGARCTGACAGAATCTTTGCATCTTTTGGTGAGATTTCTCCTTGTCTTGACCCTAAGTCAGGATCCATCAACTCTTCCCAGTTACTGTAATTTGGTTTCCCAGTACTTASGCATGTATCTTCCAGAAGTCAACTTTACATGAACCTCTCTTGCAGTTTTGTCTGCAATAGAGAAAACGGCAGCAAGAAACCACTTTGCAGACCACTGCAAATAAAGCTGCTCCACACTAGTCTCATCAAGYACCCAAATACAGAAGGATTTAACAACTTGAATTTTTGGTTAAGTCACTTTACTCTTCAATAAAGTCTGATTAAAGTTCAACTGCACATCCCACCTTGTATATTTCTCGGTAAAAATACTAGATGAAGGACTCTTCATCTTTCCTATCCCATTTGCTTGGGGGTGTATGGAGTAGAATTTTTTTTGGAGGAGCAGTGGTTTTTTTTTTGTTTGTTTGTTTTTTAATTGAAAAACAAATCCTGAAATCATMTTCTAACTTATAATACTACTAATGAATACTGAAATTTTCACTGTCTCCACAAAAATATGCTGGAAGTATCTAATCTGCTTATAAAAACCTTCTAGACTGTTTTGTTGCCAACTTGAAGGAAGCAAAAAGCTTCACATAAGTTTTATGTACAATGAACTTACTCTGTAGACCAAATATATTGATACTTATTYTGTTGGCAATGAAGGAGTATATCTGGCTTCTTTAAGTATTCCAAAACTATTCATTTTTCTGAAGATCAAATGTAGCAAATTCAAATGTACTAAAGCATGGGAACCACAAATCAAAGTTTGCACAAATTTTTGGAAATAAAAAGGAGGGAGGGATGCATATAGCTAAGATACTGACAAAAGTTCAGTGGGTTGTGGTGCTCCAGTGCGGCAATTATCAACTGCAGCTAGAATATTTCCTTCTTACTTATAAAGACATATGACAATTAGCTGGATGCTGCAAATTTAGCTCAACTTTCCTGTTAGTGAAAGCTGCAGTCACACCATTTCTCAGCTTTAACTAGGAAAATTATCTGACCCATAGAAGTAAACTGGACACATGTTAATATGAGCCAATACACAGAACTCTACCTCTCTGCAAGAAAATATCAACCCAAGACAGAAAAAGTCAATTCAATCAAATAAAGTCTTTTCCCCCTAGCAAAATTGGAATACATTTTTCCCTTTAAATAATCTGTTTCTCCAGCTGTTTGTAGASTCATATATTGAATACACATGATTAATCTAGTGCAGAAGGGAATGAATTACAATGACAGAGCCCAAGGGTGTCACTGGGGACTACCAGTAACTTTATATGGTCATGTGTGCATCACCTCTGATCACATCCCACTCCCCATCCTTCAGACGCCTGAATGACACATGCGCTTGAAACATTAATTTCCAGCTATCAGAAAAACATGACAGAACTTGTTTCCAAAACATTCTGTACTTTTGCCCTTCTCCTTTTGGTTCCTCCAGAGTCATACTGGACCTGTTCTTACTTCTCCATGAATTTCCAAAACTCTTGAGTTTGTCAAAGATACCTCAACAACTTCTCACTAAGCCACCTCTTACATGTAAAATCCCCCCCACAAGCTAACATAAAAAAACAAACAATCTCTTATCAAGAGCCAGCTCTACCATGATACCAGTAATAAAATAACCAAATAATGACTTGTCAAGGCAAAACGTGAGGCAACCACTTAATACAGTGAGTGCAGAGCAAGCTACAGTTAGCTCTTTTTCCATTCCTATTTTTAGTGATGTTTTACTGTACATTCCTCACCCCTTTTGACCACAAGAAAGAAACACTTGGAAACCTGAATAAAGGACACCACCTCCAGAGAAAATCTGTTTAAAATGTCTGGAATTATTCTACAATCCTTTCTAGAGCTTGGCCACCATCCTGGCAGGAACTGCTCTAWAAATGCACACACACAAACTGTTACGGTAATAATAACCCACGTAACAGCAATACTTGACACAGTGTGTGCACCCACTCAGTTCAGTCATCTCTGGAGAAGTATTAATATGCTCATTACTGTCATCAGAAGAGGATTTCCTTTAGAAAAGGAAACTCAAGGACAAAAACATACATAAAACCATGTCACACAATAATCATATATTATGAACTGGACTCAGTCCTTATACAGTATTCCTAAMTGTACTAACAGAGTATACAAGGGATTTTAATAACCCAAACCTATCATCTGCCAATCCTGAGGTATTTCACATTTCAGCATTACAGCCTGAGTTCATTAGCACACTAAGCCTTCATGCTTTAGGCACTTCCACCACAGGCCACTACAATGATAGATATTTCTTACTTGCCAATAAGACAATGCAGCCAAAAAAAAAAATCAAGTCTTACCTATTTTGAATAATCACAAAAGTCATCTAAAAGTGAGATGTGTGATTTCTACGAGAATTTAAAATACTCGTTTCATTTCATACTTTCAGATTTCATTTTAAATGTGTTTTGACCACGTAAGACAACTTGCACTGAGACAAACGCACTGAAAGCAGATCTTGATAATCAGCAGAACAACCAGCCAGGAGCAGCGCTTCTCGCTTCACTAACTGCACGTTTGATCTGCAGACGGTGCACTTCTTCATTTTTATGCACAACGGGGAGGCAGAAAAGCTATCCAAAACCCAGGTATCCTTCCATTCAAAAAGCTTTAATCCCGCTCGGATTTTTGCACACAGCAGCGTAAACACACGCAATACTGAAGCCACTGCCACCCGCCCGCCCCCCTGTAACACACCCTCCAGGAGCACCCCGGTGTCACAGAGCACAGCAGAGCAGGGGGTACAGCACGGGTGAAGGTATCATTACACACAAAATGAATGATCCCGTTTTGAACCCCAGTGGGGTGCGAAGYCTCTATAAAGGGGAAGTCCCTATAAGCAAAAAGGGCCCTTATGAGTGGTGTTTAAGTCACTCGTTCACACTTCCCTATTGCCGACGTTTACATTAAAAACCAGACCGAGCACAACCGACTGTTTCCAGCGTGAACCTGAACTGGCACATCATGCACACAGGAACACTCCGAGTCGTCCTACACTCGCTCTGTTTAAAACA